CGAATCAAAAATTTATGGGTCACTCAACTCGCACCGGCACCGGTTATTATCCCGCCATCCGTCTCGAAGCGCAGTGCTCATTAATGCACGTCAATAGCGTTTAGACATATCGGTTTCTAAATAATCTACTCGATTTATTCGTGTAATATTGAATTACCCTGCACGATTTCCAAAAATCTTTCTATCAATGCTCGTGGAAGTTGATCAATCATGGAAGAAGATCGGCGAAAGCTCGGCGAATGTTCGACGAAGTTCGAGCTAAGTCGAAGGTCCGACTCAAGCAGCCGAGCAATTTGAACCGAGCGTTGATTAGGTCCGAGTCATTAAACCGGGCTATGACAATAGCGAAAGTTGAACGGCGCTAGAGTTACGATTATTGGGGCCATAATCGGGCAGCTTCACGATTTTAATCGATTCGTTAATCGACCGTTGCGTCGTAATTAATCGCGCCGGAATCGGCGCTTATGATCCGTGCACCGTGTCACGTGGAATTAATTCACTAATAACGTCCGCTCGTTACATAATTCCCTACTGTAATTGTAATTTGTAATTCGGAAAATATGTGACCCCCCCCCCCCTCCATCGCCGCGGCCGATCTGTTTCCTTATTATGAATTTGTGATGCAAAATTGCGCCCGGCGCGGAATCGGGATCGCGCGGTGAACCGTGTGATACGATTACAGAACAAAATTGCACGTTTCCACCGCGTTTCTCTATTATGCAGCCAAGTCGCCCAGCGGAATCTGCAACTTTTATTAAATCTACCCGCTCGTTTTCGTCCCGTCCCGTCCCGTCCAGGACGACGCCGATGAAAAAGTCTGCAACTTCGTTCCCGCTTTGTATATCCGAGCGAACGTCCGCGACGGTTAATCGTCACTATACCACTCCTCCTATTCCACTAATTAACGCCAGATTCAGTCCAAATAGTTTCATTTCATCCGTCGGTAAATACAAGTTATTATTATTGGTGTTATTATTATTATTATTATTATTATCACCATTATTATCGAGAATCCGAAGATACATTTACACCGGTGTTTATTCAACGCATTAGTTCCTTCCGACAAATATTACAATATTATTGTTATTATTTCATTGCACTATCCACACATAACTCGCTTATATTATTATATTATATTATATTATATAATATTATATTATATTATATAATATTATATTATATTATATAATATTATATTATATTATATAATATTATATTATATTATATAATATTATATTATATTATATAATATTATATTATATTATATAATATTATATTATATTATATAATATTATATTATATTATATAATATTATATTATATTATATAATATTATATTATATTATATAATATTATATTATATTATATAATATTATATTATATTATATAATATTATATTATATTATATAATATTATATTATATTATATAATATTATATTATATTATATAATATTATATTATATTATATAATATTATATTATATTATATAATATTATATTATATTATATAATATTATATTATATTATATAATATTATATTATATTATATAATATTATATTATATTATATAATATTATATTATATTATATAATATTATATTATATTATATAATATTATATTATATTATATAATATTATATTATATTATATAATATTATATTATATTATATAATATTATATTATATTATATAATATTATATTATATTATATAATATTATATTATATTATATAATATTATATTATATTATATAATATTATATTATATTATATAATATTATATTATATTATATAATATTATATTATATTATATAATATTATATTATATTATATAATATTATATTATATTATATAATATTATATTATATTATATAATATTATATTATATTATATAATATTATATTATATTATATAATATTATATTATATTATATAATATTATATTATATTATATAATATTATATTATATTATATAATATTATATTATATTATATAATATTATATTATATTATATAATATTATATTATATTATATAATATTATATTATATTATATAATATTATATTATATTATATAATATTATATTATATTATATAATATTATATTATATTATATAATATTATATTATATTATATAATATTATATTATATTATATAATATTATATTATATTATATAATATTATATTATATTATATAATATTATATTATATTATATAATATTATATTATATTATATAATATTATATTATATTATATAATATTATATTATATTATATAATATTATATTATATTATATAATATTATATTATATTATATAATATTATATTATATTATATAATATTATATTATATTATATAATATTATATTATATTATATAATATTATATTATATTATATAATATTATATTATATTATATAATATTATATTATATTATATAATATTATATTATATTATATAATATTATATTATATTATATAATATTATATTATATTATATAATATTATATTATATTATATAATATTATATTATATTATATAATATTATATTATATTATATAATATTATATTATATTATATAATATTATATTATATTATATAATATTATATTATATTATATAATATTATATTATATTATATAATATTATATTATATTATATAATATTATATTATATTATATAATATTATATTATATTATATAATATTATATTATATTATATAATATTATATTATATTATATAATATTATATTATATTATATAATATTATATTATATTATATAATATTATATTATATTATATAATATTATATTATATTATATAATATTATATTATATTATATAATATTATATTATATTATATTATATTATATCATATTATATTATATTGTATACGTATATATATATATATTTACAAATCATCCTGAATATATTACGTACACGTAACCGATTATTAATAATAACAGTAACGCTGTTTCGGCGATTATCATTATCGAAAATATTGCAATAAAAATCAATGAAAATGAAGGTATTACGATCACTTTTTGCGCAAAGCCAGCGTTGAAATCATCGAATATTTCTAAGTTTGTCGCCACAGAGCGACGCGGCGAACCTTTTTGTTTAAATGTACAGCAGGATCGGGCAAATCGATTCGATCGCGCTGTAAAATATTCGAACAGCGAAAATTGAACGACAGTCCGCGGAAGGTAATAATTCCGACGTATTAATAAATGAAACCTGCCGGACGGTCGCAGTGTGCCAGAAATTAAGCTACTTAATATTCTAATGAACGAGGGGATAATAATCGGAAATCGTACGAATTCGTATAAATAATCGTCGATGCGCGCGTCGTAACGGGAACTTGCCGCGCGATTCTCTGCAATTAATCGAACCGAAATTCCGTTCTTAATCCTTCCGTGCCGTTTTAAAAACAGTCCCGGTGTTAACGCGAAACCTACCGAGATCTAAAATGCGCGACAAACGAAATTCGCCTCGCAAGAATCACCGTGATAAATTTATTCAAATTTTTTCAGAATTTTTATAACACCGTGTGCCCGAATAAAGGAATATATTCAACAATTTTTAATGGGAGCAGCTTTACGACTTCAATAATTACGAAATAAAAAATGCGAAACCGGCCATTTGACAGGCGATGGTAGGTTCGGCGTTGAGCTGAAGTTTTACGATCGTCGCTGTACGATAATAGCGCAACCTCGGCCAACGAAACTTTTGGCTTTGCAACAGCAAAGTTGCTGAAATTATGGAGACTCTTTCGTAGAAAATAATCGAACAGATTTCTTGATTTCAATTAAATCTTCTCGCAGTCGTCAGCTATTTTTAGGGCTCGACGAGTCTAGCGCGAATTCTCCGGTGAATTCTCTGCTATCCGAACGACGGTGATCTTTCGATTAGTTCGGATAGCAGAGGCTCCGTTGTTGTCGCGCCGCTGGAATCGCTGGGACCGTTCAGGAGCCGTCGGTCGTTTAATTATTCAATAGTTCGAGATGCATCGATATCGATGGCTCCGAATGGGGCGCTAGTTGCCAGCGTTTATGTGGCGAGCCGGTAAACATATCGCCGGCTCGCGCGGATTATTTAATATTCCATTAACGGAAACGCGGCGGGATGAAAAAAAATCTACCCGCAGCCGCGAATATTTACCGCACGAAATATGCTGCTACTCTTCCCCGTCGTAATTCACGGCCGGCCGAAGTATACCGGAGAAATATCCGATTAATCGAGAATCGAATTCGAGAGAATTGCCGCGAAATCGGATTAATTTTGCATATACTGCATCATTCCCGAACGATTTCGACCGTTTTTTACTTCGAACCCGCGCCCCCCGCTCTGCCATACCGAACACGCCTAACCGGCCCGCTTTGTTGCGATCACTGTACCGTGACCGAATTAACAATTAAATCGTAAATTTGCTCGTTCTTGTTAATTCGACACTCCACGGTTCTCGAATGTACGTATCACTTTACTGCGAATTTAATCGTACGGCAAGACACGTCGAAGATGTTCATACTTGTTCAAATAGTTGTTCGATTATTTTATTTATTAATTATTTGTTGATTATTATTGATTAATAACTTTTATCATTGATTATTATTTATTAATAATTTGTATTACTATTTAATATTTATTAGTAATTTATACTTATTCATATAGTTGTTCAATTATTTTATTCGTTAATTATGATTTATTATTTATTAATTTAAATAGAAATTAAAACCGCACGGAGCCATGGATCGATCCTAAAAACTGCACGAATTAGTGACTAATATTTTATTACCGACGAATCACTGATTTTTTAATTTACTATTATTCAGATTGACACATTTGCGAGTCATTTATTACGATAACAATCGTTAAAAATCAGAATAACTGTCTTATCGTTACTTTTATAAGCTAACATGAAACTGCTTCGTATTCAATGCTCCGTAAATCTATCCTTACGAAGAATTTTCGAAATCTTGCAATGCGTGTATAATATTGACAGCAATCATAACTCACCTGATACAGCACTTCCAAGGAAATGGGGTACACCATCTGCTCGACGATAACTCTGAGAACCGTGTTCGGTCCCCCTTGAGTCTCCGCCTGCCCCACCTGATTCTGTCCAGGAATTGCAACTTGGTTGTTCGAGTTCTGTAACAAAGTAGAAAAACGGCGGAAGTTAGCGGCGAGCTCGAGATGTTGTCCCCATGTGCAGGATAAATTCTATCCTTTGTCCACCGTGCCCGTTCCTTATGGAATATCACGCTGTTAGCGATTTATGGCACGGTACATTCGCCGTGACTCTTCATCGGTGCTTTTATGATACTTGAAAATAGCGATCACGGCGACGCCTGGGTCTGTTGCGACCCGGCACATCGTTATTAGCGTCGCGGATTTTCGTGCGAAATCAAAATTGTCCGCACTGATTGGAAGACGCACAGGCCGAATAGGGTAAGTGTGGGTATTACTGCGGACGGCCCGAATACTGCGGTATTTTATAAAAGTAATGAAATATAATACTTTATAGCGTGTAATCTTCTAAAAATTAATCTCATAATTTTTTACTTGTTTAATATTGGTAATTTATGACATACAAGTAACAGTAATCGCAGTTTTAATTCATTTATTGACTTTTGATATTCGGAAGCTTATGAAAACGCTGATTCTATTTTGATAGTTAATAATAAGCTATTTATTTCAGCGTTATATTTAGATAAAGTAATCATTACTTTGGTTAAAAATCGACGCACACTGTTGCTATAATTTATCCTGAAATATTATTTACTAGCACAGTATTTGGCGCGCTTTTTACTATGTGTGTTCATTACTGCAGTGCTTTTACCGAACTTGGTACCTTAACCTAATTTTTTAAAGTGCTGCAGTGATAATATCTTGGCCCTCGGAATTGTAGCTGTGTGCGTACATTTAAAAGAAAATAGGTTATGTCAACGCGGTAATCGGAACGTCCGCAGTATTTGGCTCGCAGTAATAGGTGTACATAACCGCGGTAATACATGCACACGTATGATTTCTTTACATTATACTTTTTAATGAGATTCGTGCTTTCAGAGATGCAATATTTTGTGAAAAGTAAATATTCAAGTTAAAGAATAATAGCTCAAGTTGACAATTTATTGGCGTAAAAGGTCTCATTTTCTTTATCGAAGTTCGCCTTCATTGAGAAACCGCAGTAATACCCTATCAAGTTCGTTCTTTCTTCAGTCATTCGAATAAATTAAAACCAATGTGCACTTTGAAATTCCTTTAATCTTTATACTACTCGATTCTGCCACAAATGCATAAAATCTAGTAATTAGCCACTTTCGCAGTAACTAGACCCGCGTTCGAACTTCCCCAATTTTCCTCGGGCTTGGTTCACGCTCTTCCCGACGCGCGCGAGCTTGAAATTCGGCTGTCCCGCGGTCCCGGTCGCGGTCCCTCCGCCCCATAATCAGTAGAGTCACCGGCCGCGTAGACGCGATTTCCATAAAACGCCGAAGAAACGGTGCATTAGAATTCCTATGCGGATGAAAACGCGGCTCGGAGCCGTCCCCGCCGGTTCCCGGAAACTCCGGGCTCTGGAACCGCACGGCGGCACCGCCACCGGAAGTCCCGTGAAAGGGGAACTTGTTACCGAGTTAGCCGGCGGAACGATATTTCTACGTGAAGGGAAATCGATCGAGTGCCTTGGGGAAGCGTTTTAAGTAATGTCGCGCGCGGGCCGAGAACCGGCCCAGCCTTGTGTGCGAGCAGATTTTCGAGGGCGTTTTACGCGTCGCGCGGAAAATATTTGCGAAGTTCAGGCTGAATGGATTATACGGAGTGGTTCAGGATTAAATAAATACGCGGATCCGGATCGAAAACAGGGCTGAACGTTCCCATGCCGTTGTTTGCACATCTCCGCGAGTAAGCAGAGCCATTGGAAACTTGAAAAATGGAGACCCGGCTGTTATTATTTTATTTTATTTTATTTCATTTTTTTTTCGGACGCAAGAATTCGTATCCTGTCGGCTGAAACACACACCATGGAAACATGTCGAACGGTTCCGGCCATTTGCACAAGCATCGGGGACGGCAAACAGAACTTTTAATTGGACCTTCGATTCCTTCGAGTCGGAAAATTCTTTAATGCTCGTTCGGAGAGACGTTAATTATGTTACCGGCCGGGTGAATGAGACCGTGCCGCGAGATTTATACTTCGACAGAGAGAGAGAGAGAGAGAGAGAGAGAGAGAGAGAGAGACGGACGCTCGCGCGTTTTATTATTTAATTTTATTTTATCCGTTTTATATGCCGGCCCCCAGTAATTTCATACCGCTTCCGACATAAAAATACCGGCGCACACGCCCGGGACCCGTATACCGACCGGTCATTCTAATTTTACAGGAACGCGCGACGTCACGACTGCCCGGCCGCCCATAAATGCTTCATGGGCCCAACTAACTTCCGAATTGAACGGGAAAACTCCAGGTCCCCGGGAAACAGTGCGACATGCGAAAAGCACCGCCGCCGGCTGGAAAACGTTCCGACTCGTTAAAAGGTAACGCCACTCTAGCGACCCAAAACATACAGCAACTTTGACAATTTTTTATGACGATATAGTAAATGCAATACAAAATCTGGTTACAGGCCTTTATGGCGCACGTTCTGAAGAATGGTCGCTATTTTTTGTTCAACTCTTTTTTACGCTATTTTTACCGGTATTTCGTGCTATCAATTCGCCAGGTTAATTTCGCGATGACTATAGCCAAAGTCGAGAAGCGATTGCGTAGAAAACGCAGAACATAGGAAACGATTGTTATTAAAAATTATTAGAAAATGTTCCTTTTGACAGCTTCGAGATGAAAATAGCGTCAAGGTGATCCATATTTCATTCTTCGAAGAATCGAAATGGACAATTAATCGAGTACACTTAGCAGTGAGATATCGAGTTCTAACAAAGTAAACAATGTTCTCGAATGTTCAAATTATGTTCTCAAATTTTTTGGTCCTAATAATATTCCTGGTTTTTGAGTGACGAATATCCTGTACGTGCTTCGTACAGGAAGTGTAACAGCGGAGGATTAACGACACGGGTTAATTATCGAAAAAGTTGCAAATTTTTGATGACCCTAATCCGATGGCACGGGACAGTAGTCACTGTGTAACACGTTGAATTAGCAAGAACGTTTCCGGAATGATCGGTGCATTGTTAAGGGAGCGTCAAATCGCGGGGCGAGAAATTTCGGAAAATTGAAGCCCAGAGTCCGGATCGGGCCAAGTCGGACCGAGCAGGACCGGGCAACAAAGGACTCGATCTATTTAAACGGGGACCCCCAATCGATCACCTCGTGATCGCGCCGCCGGCGCAAAGTGGCCGATTGAATTTCAATATTAATCGAACAGTTAGCGGGTGCCGTTCGGACGTGAACGCTCATTCGACCTATTAAAAATGCAACAGGCCAAAATTGGCCATGCCAGAGAAAACAATGCCATTAGCCAATCCCCACCACGGCCCTGTTTCTATCCGTTTTCGATGGAAACGTTGCCGGGCCACTGGGAAATATACTGTCGGGACCATAATCAGGGGAAACCGATCTCCGCAGTGAAAAGAAAGGAGACGTACGTCGATAGAATGCAAGAAAAGTGCAAGAAATAACATTTTATTATTAATAAAATTAGTAATATTGAAGTTATCTTCGTTCTACTTTCACGATTGTAGCACCAATGGACAACTGAGATCCTCCTGATTAAAATGAGCCCAAACACGGCGTAAATCGGATCAACGGAAGCTGTTATCCATTAATACGCGATCTACAGGGTGTGCCACGCAATTCGCACGCTCCGAATACCATTGAAATTACGCTTTCTACGAAAAATCATTGAACATATAGTTGAAAAGGTGAATTCCTGCATGTCGAGAGATCCATCTAATTTAAAGTTGTTCGAGGTGTGCAAATTACAACGACACACCACGTAGGTTGCTTAATTATTGGAAATGGTTTAAACCTGTCCGATTTGTATCGTGTTTGGGCTCATTTTAATCGGAAGAATCTCGGCAATCCATCGACGTTACAATTTCGCATCGAGCTCAATCGGTGCAACCGATCTCGGGCGATATTCAGTTTTTGTTTTCTATATTATTTTTCGGAAACACCGAATGCGATACGAGAGATTTCGCGCGACCGTTGATGGAACGGAACGGAGCCTTTTGTAAAGACCTAGTGTCCAACACAGCAAGGCGGAAAGGATCGATGTAACAACGTACTGTTACTTTATTGGACGGGTTGAATAGGGGACACGGCTGCGTTTGATTGAACGGCGTGCATTATCTCCGCGGAAATGCCGTCCCCGCTACGAGCCGGGCGGTACAGATTCCAATTATATGCATTAAATCTAAATTAATATCAATTTTTGGACCGGCGGACCGGGCGAATTAAATGCGGCCCCGATAAGCTGGCAGCTCCCACTGCCAGGACAATGATACTAACGGGTTACGAGAACAAAACGGGGAAGAGCAAGATGCTGACCAAAAGGGCAAAGGAAATTACGGTTGCGACGACGATTTACGAAGCCGGAACGAAATTCCCGGCGAATCAGACGTATTCGCCGGACATGCCAGTCGATGCACGAGCATTTCATGGCGTCGTGTGTCCGCGTACTTGTGGATACGTGTCTCTAAAGTAATTTCCAGTTATCTGCGTTTACGATTCCGCAGTTACGCTACCGTGATTCTGCTTCGTAATTCCGGGTCGGACCGGGAACGTTATTTACCTGACCCTTAACTAAATGCAGCTCTGGATAGTATAACAAATAATGCTATTTAATCATTATTTTGCAAACAAAAATTTAGGTAGTTGTATAGCTCTTCAAGAGTAGATTAAGAAAGTCTAATAACATTTTCCTCTAAAGTGGACAGTTACGCTGGAAATTGCGAGTAATGTTTGAGCCTTTAGTCTAGAGACCCCCTACGCTACTGTGGCTGCATCTCCTCGACGCATAGACACCAGCATCACCTGAACTCTATACCGAACCATTTACCTTCGATTTCGTACGCTTTAATTAATAACGACAAATGTTGATAAATATTTTGCGACTGGGAATAATTAAGATCGCGGAGAATGCTTCAAGGAATCAGTTTCCGCGAGCAAGGGGGAATGGAAACAGACACGA